GTGTATGGAGGCTGAGGCTTCAGAACAAGTGGAGAAGGCTTAGAGCAGTGTGGGTAGTGAGTGTTGGTCCGATTTTAGATGCATTTTATTTTTAACTATTTGAGTTTGGGGTGGGGGAGTCACACAAGTGCAGATGCTCAGGAAGGCAGTTTGGATCGCCTGAAGCTGGAGTTATAGGTAGTTATGAACTGCCTGGTGTGAGTCCTGGAAACCAAACTCTGGTTCTCTCCCAGAGCAAAAGCTCTTAGCTGCTGAGCCATCTCTCCAGCCCCTCTAAACACATTTTAAAGACAAAGAAGCTGACAGTTGTACAATAAAGTGAGCACCTGCATAACATTTGTAATCTAAGCCCTTCCCCCAACTGGCTGTGGTAGTGCACACCCGGAATTCTAGCACTTGGAAGGCCAAGGCAGGAGGATGGCAAGTTTGAAGTTAACCTAGGCTACACAAATATGGACAGATGGAAGGCCAGCCTTCCAACTTCCAACTCTTGTTTTCAACCCTCTACTCCTAAAGGCAGGCTCTTTACCACCACCCCACCACCCCATCTGCCTACAACACATGTGAATGAGCATCGATTCCAAGTTTCTGCTCATCTTCTGTTCCTGAGCCTAGCTTAGACTTAGAATCTCTTCTGTCTTCCCCAAAAGATATCTCAGAGAATGGAATCAGCTGAGGAGCCTTTGCATTACATGCCTAACATTAGCTGCCACATGAACATGCTCCCCTTCAAATAGCTGCTCCACAGGGGCTGCACACAATCATGCAGGAGTGGAGTCATAAGCTGCAATTCATTTTCAAATGTCTCAGCAAAACTTTTTACATCTATATACACACATTCATATGCATTCATAAAGCAAACATGTATAAATCTATTGTGGTATATGGCCTTGGCATGTAGTCTTTTTTAAAAGTTACTTCAGCCGGGCGGTGGTGGCGCACGCCTTTAATCCCAGCACTCGGGAGGCAGAGATAGGCGGATCTCTGTGAGTTCGAGGCCAGCCTGGACTACCAAGTGGTTCCAGGAAAGGCGCAAAGCTACACAGAGAAACCCTGTCTCGAAAAACCAAAAAAAAAAAAAAAAAAGAAAAAAAAAAGTTACTTCATATTTTTAATTATATGTGTGTGTGTGTGTGTGTGTGTGTGTGTGTGTGTGTGTGTGTGCACGTCACAAACACCAGATCAACTTGGATTCCCTAGAGCTGGAGTTACAGGGGCTTTTTGTTTTTTTGTTTGTTTTTGTTTTTTGGTTTTTTTTTTTTGGTTTCTCTATGTAGCCCTGGTGCCCTGGAACTCACTCTTGTAGACCAGGCTGGCCTTGAACTCAAGAGATTTGCCTGCCTCTGCCTCCTCAGTGCTGGGATTAAAGGCATGGGCTGCCACCACCACAGGGCTTTAAAAATAGTAGTTTTGAGCCGGGCGGAGGTGGCGCACGCCTTTAATCCCAGCACTCGGGAGGCAGAGGCAGGTGGATCTCTGTGAGTTTGAGGCCAGCCTGGTCTACAGCGCAAGATCCAGGAAAGGCGCAAAGCTACACAGAGAAACCCTGTCTCGAAAAACCAAAAAAAAAAAAAAAATAGTAGTTTTGAGCCACCTCACATGCGTGCTGGAAATTGAACTCAGATCCTCTGGAAGAGCATTAAACGTTCTGAACATACCATGGTGTGCAGAGAGAAATCAGAGAACAATTTGTGGGGTTGTCAGACATGGCAGCAAGCACCTTTACCCACAAGGCCACCAGGCAGCCCTTGGTATGTGACTTTATATGTTCTGCAGGCTCCAAACAAAATGTTGAAACAAACTGGAGCAGACATAACTGTAGCATGAATCTTATTAATAAAATCAAACCCAGAGCCAGGTATTGGGATGAATGCTGGAAGATCAGAGAAACAGAACAAGCCATAGTCACCTCACCTCACCAATTCCTCAGCTGATCCTGCTTCCTCAGACTGGAAGCCTCTCAGTCCTTATCCAAATGAATCTCAGCTGAACTGCTTCTCAAAAGCCTGAATGCTTAACCAGCCAAATGCTTCTAGTTTCTGGTCTTCACGCCTTATATACCTTTCTGCTTTCTGCCATCACTCCCTGGGATTAAAGGCTCACTTCTTGGGATTAAAGGCGTGTGTCATCATGCCTGGCTGTTTCCAATGTGGCCTTGAACTCACAGAGATCCAGAGGGATTTCTGCCTCTGGAATGCTAGGATTAAAGGCATGAGTGCCACCATTTTCTAGCCTCTGTATCTAGTGGCTGTCCTGTTCTCTGACTCCAGATAAGTTTATGAGAGTGTACAATATTTTGGGGAACACAATACCACCACACATAACCCCTGGCACTCCTCCGCATCTGGCATGGAGAGCCCTGAGAAAAGCTTGATGCTTCTGGACAATCTGCAGCTTCTAAAGAGAAGAGGGAGATCATGAAGGACAGGCATGATCAGGACAGGTAACAGCAGGCACAGACTGGATTTTGTCCTGCCTATGTCCCACTGCAGGAAAAATCCAAAGAAGAAAAGGGGCTGGTTCCCTGCTACACACAAGGTCAGAAGGGTCTCGTCCCTTCAGGCACCTCCTTGCTGTCTCATCAGGTCCTGATAACCTCCTATACACACCATTTTCAAAGCACCGTGCAAGGGTCTCTTGGGGAAAGCATTCAACACAGACGTCCACTTTGTTTCACTCCTCTCTTACACACTTCCTTCTTTCCTTAATGAAAATGTCCTAATCCATCAAATCAGAGCATGGTGGCTGGGGATACAGCTCAGTGGTAGAGTGCTTGCCTAGAAGGTGGGAGGCTCTGAGTTCACTCCCCAGAAACCCTCCCTCTGCCCTACCACCACACAACACATAGGGGGAAAAAATCACCAGAGTGCCAGTTCTTCCATAAATTTCAAAAGATATTTTGATTTGCAAATTTTTCTGGGGGTTAAAAGGGAACTGGTATTAACCCTAAAATGTCCATGTTTCAGTAAAGAAAATAGGAACACTCTCCCAAGGTCACAGAGCTCAATCACCTTGGAGCAGTGTTTCTCAAAATGTAAACCTCTAGATCCTAGGATGAACCATTTTAAGACCTGCTCAATCCTGCCAAGAGCAGGAAACACAAGGATTGCAGAGGAGGCTGCCAATGGGACCCAGATACTATGTCACTGCAGATCAAATAGAACCTGGCTATAAACAACAGGGGTGGCACCTGATCCTGAGGATGGGGAGAGCAGGGTTTTAAGAAAGGAGTGATTCTAACTCTGAATGTTAGTAAGGGCTTTTTCTGAGGATAAAGGCCAGAAAGTCAGACAGTAATGGAATGAAACAGGGTTGGTGTAAACACATCAGAGGCATTTTGTTGTCTTTCACTCCAGGATGAAAAAAAAAATTGAATTCAGTTAGTGCAAATTCTGATACCACATCAACTGCTATAAACTAAAGATGATCCTGTAGAACTATTAGTGAGAGGTGGGACTTGATGTTTACAAATGATAGAAACTGACCTATCATTTCCCTTTAAAAAGTGGTTTATTTGGGGGCTGGAAAGATGGCTCTTTGGTTAAGAGCTCTTGCTCTTCCAGAGACCTGGATTGGAATCCCAGCACCCATGTGGCAGCTCATAACCATCTGTAGCTCCTGTTCTAAGGGATCCAAAGCCCTAATCGGGCACTGCACGCACATGTTACCCTTACATACATGCAGACAAACACCTATACACATAAAATAAATAATAAATAAATCTTTAAAAGTGGGGTTTTTCAGGCTAACAGAAAGAACTTTATTTCTAAGTCAGTATTTTCCAGACAGTAATAGAGGACAATGACACAAGACACAGTAAAACTTCCTTTAATCTAAATGCCCCATTCAGTACACATTGTCTATACTCTGTGAAGTGCTGTGGAGCTAACTAAGCACTATGCAGCCACCATTAACGCAAAGGACCTTTCTGATAAACTACGACTTCAGTTTGTCACCTCCACATGATCTTGAGTTGAAATGGAAAAAAAAAATGACTGAAATTCAAAAGAGGAACTAGAAAAGAAGGTGTCCCCATGCTGCTCTGAAGAGGTCTGTTTTATACTATAATACAGAAGTTTATTTCCAAACAAAGAAAGCGATATTTAGCAAAACCTTGGGTGAGGGAATGCAAATCTATCTTGGCCAACCACTGCAGGAGCGCCCTGGAAGGTATGACGCAGAGGTTTCTAAACAATACCTTCGGCTCTGGGTGATTTAACCTCGCTTAGATCAGGCTCACCCCCTCCAGGGTTGGGCTCACTAGATGCAAAGGCTGAGCTCAACACTAACAAGCTTGTGAGAGTCCGCAACTGCGATAGCATCGGGGACAGAGAGAGCGATTTCTCAGACCCCTTTCTTTGAAGTTTGGGCAAAAAGCCTCCAGTGCGTGAAAGACAGGACCAAGGCCGTGAGACTGGCTCGGGAGACACCTTAACTTCTCCGCAGTCGATGCGCACGCCTTCGGTCCATCAAGACAAAGCATTCCCTAAAAATCACTTCCGGGAGGGGCTGCCAGAGGTGACCTCACGTTCCGGTCAGGGACATTGGCAGGCTCCCAGGAGCGCATGCGGTCCTCCCCTCTGTGGTCCATCCTACTCATCCTCCCGCTGTAGTCCTCCACGCGCGACCCTTCCCTCCGTGATCCTCCCGCCGCGCCCCTCCGCTCCCACCGCCTCGGGCCTGGCGTACTTACCCCCGGTTAGGACCCTTGGGGATAAACCAGGGCACGAGAAGGCCCACGAAGCCCCAGAAAACGCTCATCACGATCAGAGGCACAGTGAGGCCGTGGTACGCCATGCCTGTACCTCAGCAGACAAACCAGTCCGCCGCCTCACTCTCGTCCCACCCGGAAGTGTCAACAGCGGCTCACGTGACCTGCGCACGAAAGCCCCGCCCCTTGCGCTCAGCGTGACTCGCCCGTCGGACTCCGCCCCTTGGACCGGAGCCCCGCCCTCACCTAGCCTGTCTCAAGGCTGCAGCTTCTTTTTTTTTTTTTTTTTTTGGTTTTTCGAGACAGGGTTTCTCTGTGTAGCTTTGCGCCTTTCCTGGAACTCACTTGGTAGCCCAGGCTGGCCTCGAACTCACAGAGATCCGCCTGGCTCTGCCTCCCGAGTGCTGGGATTAAAGGCGCGCGCCCGCCACCACCGCCCGGCGGCTGCAGCGTCTTGAAGCTTGTCAGAGGTGAGGTGCCAGTCACCAGGGGATCAAAGTTTTCTGGCAAGAATTTAGACCCATTTCGGCGATGTGTTTTTTACAGTTTTAGCTGTATTTTACGCGCAGACGTAAAGAGCTTAACTATAGTTCCAGAGTCCTGGGTGGCTGGCTCTGACTGTAAGCTTTGCATTCTTCTATAGTCCATGAACTGCTCGGAATTGTCATCCCTGCTGCAGGTGAAGAATTTGACCACAGTCACATAGTAAGTGGGAAGGATCAGGATTCAACCTCTGACGATGACTTTTCAAGGCACAGGCTCTTGACTGTTAGCGCTACTCTATGTCTTGTACAGTATGCTAGGGTCTGAGTTACAGAAGTATATCAGACAGCCCTCTGAGAGGTCACATCCTGGGAAGCAGATGGACCTGCAAATAGGCCCCAGGACAGACTGACAGCTGAGGATGACCAGGTCCTACTTTGCATTCCTGCCTGTTGTCACAACAGCTTCAAGAAGAGTAGGAATTAGCATGAAATATTAAAGCTGCGCTTGCCAGCATTGTGGCCTCATCATGCTATGTACTGTCTTAGGTACAAAGGAGGGAAACAATTCTTGGACGGTTGCTTTGTTTTTTTTTTCTTTTTTCATTAGGTCAGGGTCTTGTTATGTGGAACAGGCTGGCATCCAGGTCAAAATCCTCCTGCTTCTGCCTCCCAAGTGCTGGGATTGCAGGTGAACTGCCATGTTGAGCTGAGGTTGATTTTGAAGACGCTCACAGACAGAACAAGATGGGAAGGAGACCTGTCAGCTGACTCCAGTGTGCCGGGCTGTGACCAGGTTCCTGGCAACAGCCACTTCCCCTCATTTCTTCATCAAGTAGAATAGATTCCTGAATCAGCTGGAATCTTCAACAGCTGTACCAGCTCTTCACATGATTTTTAAGACTTTACCTGTCTAGCATACTTGGCAGTTAAAACTAGTTGGCCTTCTTAGAAACAAAACAATTTATTCTTTGAGAATTTCACACTAGGTATTTTGCTTCTTTGTTTAAGGAGGAAGCATTTATTTTGAATCGTTTGATATGCTTTGTGCTGATACTGCTTTCCTGCATAATGTAGCTCAGCAGAAATTATGATTTTTTTTAAGTCCCAGGCAAAGCACTGCCAAGGCCCATTTCCTACTGTTCGCACGTCTGTGTCTGTGTAGGACCTTGTTCAAACCTTTCCGAGTGTCCGGCCTGCACCTAAGGACAGCTATGAAATGTGGCCCAACACTAAAACCTTACTAGATTTTTGTTGTTGTTGTTGGGTTTTGGGGGGAAGGGGTTTACTAATTATGTGAGTCTCAGGTGTGACCTTTAGATGACAATGACAATGTCACATTGCAATGTCGTAAGTTTGGACATGCCTACAAGTTGCTTCTGGAGAACAGGCGCTGTTCGCTGCTTGCTGTTCCTGGGAGTGTATTAGACATAACCATGTGTGTACTAGACACAGACTGCCCACAGAACCACTGTGCAGCTGAACCAAACAGACAAGAGAGGGTGAGAGCACCAGAACCAGAGGAGAGAAGGCAGCTATTTCCTGCCTCCCTCACATATTACTTTTTGTTTTCTTAAAATCTGCTGTGATACATACAGAGTATCCTAAGACCCTTTTGAAGCAACTGTTTACATTGTTGTCAAACGATCTCTAGGACTCATACTAGAGCCCAGGATAGACTCGCTCTGGTGATCCCCCTGCCGTGGCCTCTCAAGTGGTAGGATTACAGGCAAGTGCCCTGTGCTCTCTAGATGTTTCTCATGTGTGTTAAAGAACAGCCTCCCACCAGCCCTCTCACCTGGCAACGACTGTTTTACTTTCTGTCTCAGCGTGTTTGGCTGTGGTAGGAACCTCCTAAAAGAGGTTCACACAGCAGTTCACAGTGGGCTTATTTCACTAAACATAATATCTTCAAGGTTTATGTGTGTGCGTAAGAGAGGAGGGGGGAGCGGGATTTAATTATGTAAGCTAGGCTGCCCTAGAACTGCCTCAACTTGTGATTTTCTTGTCTCCAGCTCCTGGATGCTGGGAATATAAACAGCTCTATTTTAAGGCTAATATTGCACTGAATGTACATTGTTAAAACAGTCTGCTTGGCTGGGCAGTGGTAGCGTACACCTTTAATCCCAGCAATCCAGAGGCAGAGGCAATCAGATGTTCTAGGCCAGCCTGGTCTACGAAGTGAGTTCTAGGACAGCCAGGGCTACACAGAGAAACCCTGTCTCAAAAAACAAAACAAAACAACATATTGTATGTATATGTGTGCTTTGCCTTTATGTATGTCTGTGCAACACATGTGTGCCTGATGCCCTTGCAAGTCAGAAGAGGATATTGGATACCCTGGAACTGGGGTTATGGATAGTTGTGAGCTGCTATGGGGGTTGCTGGGAACCAAACCTGGGCCCTCTGTAAGAGGAGCAGATGCTCTTAACAGTTGAGCCCTCCCTCCAGTCCCTTCCCTATGTGATGGGTATTTTAGTCATGAAGTTTCGTATTTTAAGTACGAATCTAATAAAATGGGGGTGAAAACAGGCTAACAAAACATGTCCAAAAGACAACATAAGAGATAAGCCACAAAACCAAAGTACAAGTGGCCCTTGTCTACATCTGCCCCCAAAGGCAGACCACATTGAGGCCTGAAGGGGGTGTTAGTCTCCAGTCTCTTCAAGATCACACATTTTGGGTTTCTTTGTTTGTTTTGAGACAGGGTTTCTGTATGTGGCCCTGGATGTCTTGGAACTGGCTCTGCAGACCAGGCTGGCCTCAAACTCACAGAGATCTGCCTGCCTCTGCCTCCAGAGTGCTGGGATTAAAGGCGTGGGTCACCATCACCTGGCCTGTTTTCTTTTTTAAAATAATTTTTTAAAGCCTTCTTAAAAAATGTATGTGTATGTATATGTATGTATATGTACCTGTGTGATATTTATGTGTACCTCTGCAGAGGCCAGAGATCATCATAACTGATGTGGAGACAGGGTCCTCTGCAAGAGCCTCAAGTGCTCATAACTGCTGAGCTAACTCTCCACCCTCCCTTCTGCTTTCTTTTTAAGGTGTTTTTTTTTTTTTTTTAACAGTGAAGCCCAAGAGTCCTGCATGTCTGTCCTGCCTGCATCAAGGTTGCTCCTGCATCCCTTGGCAGCAACTGTAGATTGTGGTTTTTCCACCTCACTCCTGTGCTTCTCAGCACAAGTTTTGGCATATAGCCAAAGGCCACAAATCACACTAAGAAGTTAGCCCACGGGCCTCCCAGGAAGCTGTGGTGGTTTGATAAGAATGGCCTCCATGGCCTCATATATTTGAATGCTTAGTTACCAGGGGACTGGCACTATTTGAAAGGATTAGGAGGTGTGACCTTGTTGGAGTAATGTCACTGGAGGTGGGCTTTGAGGTTTCAGAAGCCCAAGCCAGGTCCAGTGTCTTTCACCCTTCCTGTTGCCTGTGGATCTGATTTAGAACTCCCAGCTACCCATCTAGCACCATGCCTGCTTGCATTCTGCCATGCTTCCTGCCATGATGATAATGGACTAAACCTCTGACACTGTAAGCAAGCCCCAATTAAATGTTTTCTTTTATAGGAGATGACATGGTCATGGTGACTCTTCACAGCAATAAACACTAAGACAAAGCCATAATGCCCTTTGAGACCCAGTTGGGATCAGCTGCAGGTGCATGCCCATTGAGGAGCTGAATCCTGTCCCGGCTTCAGTGTATCTTCCGGCCAGAAACCACATCTGGCCAGGAATATGGAATAGGCTGGGTTCCGTGTGCTTGTGTGTATGAATCTGTGATGGGGGAACACAGCCTCGTGTTACACTCCAGCCACCATACCCTCAGCAGCCACAGCTATGAACACCGTTGCTTCCTCTGTTTGCAGGCTGTGTGTGATGGTTCATGTTGGCTGTCAGCCTGCCTGAATCTGGAATTAGCTGGAAGACAGTTGGACACACCAGGGAGGGCTTTTCTTGATCAGGTCATTCAAAGAGGGAAGACCCAGCATAAAAGAGGGTGGAACCCTTGGGTGGCAATCCAGATATGAGATCCAAGGGAGAAGCTTGTGCACTGAGCAGCTACTGGGTTCTTTGCTTCTGCGGTGTGAAGACAGCCACTGTCTGGGATGAACCCAGGCCATACTGTGTAAGCGATCTAATAAATGCCCTGTTCGTATATATTCATTCTATAGGTTCTGTTCCTCTAGAGAACTGCTGCACAGCTGTAAACTTAGTCTATATGACATCTAACTTTCACTCAACCTCTGGACTCTGAACTTGAGCTGATTGAGAATGAAGACAAACTTTGATAGACAATGTCAACCTGAGGCTGGAGAGCTGGCTCAGCAGTGAAGAGCACTGGCTGCTCTTCCAGGGGACTCCAGTTTGATTCTCAGCACACACAGTGGCTCACAACCCTTTTAGGTTTTGTGCTGTCCTCTTCTGGCCTTAGGCCCTGCATGAACATGGTGCACAGATTTGCAGGCAAAACACCTGTACTAACATAGACAAATCTCAAAATACTCAAAATAACAAAACCCCCCCACACAGAACTTCCTAGTAAGCTACTCATTATAGTCACTTGACTCCACTTAGCAGGTTACACCTCTGATGTGGTCGGCAACCACTCTGTGAACTGGGTATGTATTCTACAGATACAAATCAAGTTTGCGTGTTTTTAAGAATTACTGAAGTTGATGTGAAACACACACATCACACCCAGGAATGGGAGCACGAGGATGGAAACTAACAGAAACAAGCATGTGACGCCTACAGTCAGGCAGGGTTGGTGACCTGATACTTTAATTTTCACAGCCTTGAAGATGGGCACTGCCTGCCTATGATCCTGACGTTCTGGAGGCAAGAGGAACATGACTTCAAGGCCAGCCAGCTTGGGTTACATAGTGAGGTCTTACCTAAAAATGACAGTAATGGATGAAAAATTAAAACAAGAAAGAACAGTTCTTGCTTTTGGTTTTTGTTGTAGCTTTTCATATAGGGAGAATGAGCAGGGAGTGGAGTTGGGTGGTACAGCATGTTTCTGACATATGCACGGCCCTGTGTTCTATTTCAGCATGCAAAGGAAAACAGGCTGTTTAATTCATTCTAACCAAAGGCTGATTTCCCAGGGGTGGCAAGTATTCCAGCCTGAATCAATCTTGAAGTTTAATGGAGTCTAAAACCCACATGCCAGTGGGAGCCAGACAAGTAAAGGCAGCGGGCAGTTCAAGCCCGTGCAGGAGGGAAATGAGGATGCCAGGCAACCAGGTCTAACAGGCATTCATGGGACTTTCACATCGAAAATGCTAGAATTGGGTTAAAACCAAAAATACAAGGACAAACAAACTCAGAGTCAAATCTCAGCACAGGTTGCTAGTTCCCGAGTTAGCTCCAGTGGAGGAACACTTCAATTAGAAAACATACTAGGCCTTGGAAAAAGGAGCCTGGGCAAGGAGCTGCAAGAGACCTGGTTCATCTGGTTAAGAAGGGATCTAGGAGCTGAGTGGTGGTGGCGCACAGCTTTAATCCCAGCACTCAGGAGGCAGAGGCAGGCGGATCTCTGTGAGTCTGAGGCCAGCCTGGTCTACAGAGTGAGTTCCAGGGCAGCCAAGGATTACACAGAGAAACCCTGTCTTGAAAAAAAAAGGGGGGGGGGGGCGGGAAGAAGGGATCTGGGGAATAGCAGTGAGGAAGCCTGAGGACCACCTATCAGGCCTGGTGTGCAGGCGAACAGCAGTGTGAGCCCAGTGGGCTCTGAGGGTGCCAGTTGGTATCCTGAAACCAATCAGACAACCCCCTGCCTCAGAAACCAGAGCCCCGCCCTTCTCCCTCCACAGGCACAAAGAGCAAGGCCTACCACAAGCTACTGTACTGTTCCACCTATAAACATCTGAGAGACTGACAGGGGTGGATGAGAAGGCTTTCATTTATAAAATAATGCAAATGCCACTTGACATTAGAAAACAGTTCCAATTTTTATTCATAAATTATCAAAACTGCAGAAGGAGATTTACAAGAGTGACAGGTCAGTAGCAAAACAGGTGGACAATGAAACACATCAGACACACTTTGAAAAGTTTGAAGAGACACCAGACAGGCCTCTGCAGTCAGCCCTGGCTGCCTGACAGCCGGTTTCACCCCTGTATCCTCAGTGAGCTCCCTGCACTGGCCTTTCTCTGTCCCAAGTTGCCGAGACTTGGCTTTGCATTCGAGAATTTTTTCCCTGTCTTTGTCTGGTTCCAGCCTGGCGATAACCACCTGTTAAGAGACAAAACAGAGTTTTAATGGAAGGAATTTATAATCTCCATAACCCCCGACAGTAGAGCCTCCGTTAGGTTCCTCCTGCCAGCCAACCTCAGGACCTCAGATTCCCAGAGATTCCCACAAGACCATCTATGCAGTTCAGTCATATGTTGGTTATGGCTGAAAATTGTTCTTACATCCCTGGCTGGCAATATATACTGCTTAGAAAAAATCTGGATTCTCACCAGCTCCTGGGTAATAATGCAGGAACTATGAAGACAGGACCCTAACTAACCACTCGGGTTTATGGATCTGAAACTCAGAGAAGAAAACTCCTCCAGCAGTGTAAAATCAGAGCTCAAAGGTGAACAGCACATCTTACCTGGGTGAAGATGCCCAGGAAGAGAGCTTTGCCCTTTTCTCTCAGGACTTTTTCTAACGGACTTGTGATGCTTAGAATGCCTGAGCCCTCTTGCCACCAGCTTGGGGATACATCATGAAGAAGGGCAACACAGAAGAGCCAGTGGTTCTCAACCTCCCTAATGCGGTGACCCTTTAATACAGTTCCTCATGTTGTGGTGACTCCCAACCATAAGATTATTTTCATTGCTACTTCATAACTGTAATTTTGGTACTGTTATGAATCATAATGTAAATATCTGATATGCAGGCTATCTGCTTTAGGACCCTGTTGCGACCCACAGGTTGAGAGCCAGTGCTCTAGACTCTTGTTGAGGCCACTAAGCCTGCCTGGCCTACCTCTAGGCCTCAACCACTCCCACCTACACAGACAGTCCGGACAGGCCAACGCTCAGCCAGGGAACCCTGCCTTGCTGGGGTGGATGCTCATGTAGACAGTTGTGCTGTTAGTCATCTCATGCTGTCCCTGCTTGATGTAGCTGACAGACTGAGTTCTGTACACTTGGACTGTCTTGCTGACCTGCTGACCTTTGTAGTGTCCTCAAACCACCTAGGACAGCACAGCACATGGAGGAAGCTGTCAGGAACACATGGGCTGTTACAAACTTCTGAACAAAAACAGACTTGGAAGTCAGAGCTGGCTATTTTTGTGCTATATAACTGTCTTATGGTTCGTTGTGTAGAGAATCTTCACCTTTATTTATTTACTTAAGGAAGAAGGAAAATCTTCCTCAGCCAGGGATAGTCATTATAGAAGTAGTCTTGAGATTAACAAATATAGGGCAGGCAAGATGGCTCACCAAGTAAAGACCATTGCCACCAAGCCTGAGGACATGAGTTCGATCACTGGGTCCCACACAGTAGAGAGAACTCCCACAAGTGGTCCTTTGACCTCCACAAATGCACTGTGGCACATAACATGAATAAATAAATAAGTAAACGTTTTCAAAAGTAGGAGTTCTCTATATGAATAGTCATTCTCTAAATGAAGACAGAAGCCAGGGTTTTGCACATTAGGCAAGTTCTACCACCAAGCCACATTCTAGCTTTCAACACCTGACAGAAAATGGTGTCAAGAAAATTTTATAGCTGGTCGGTGGTAGTGGTGGTGGCGGCAGTGGCGGCAGTGGCGGCAGAAGCAGCAGCAGCAGCAGCAGCAGCGCATGCATGCCTTTAATCCCATCATTTGGGAGGCAGAGGCAGGAGGATCTCTGAGTATGAGGCCAGCTCTACAGAGCGAGTTCCAGGACAGCCAGGTCTATCTACACAGAGAAACCCTGCCTCGAAAAACAAAAAGAAAAGAAAAGAAAATTTCCAAAGACTATCATGCAACCATTTGAAACCCTCAATTTTAAAGCTACATTGTGGGCCTGGGGATGCAAGAGCACTTGCCTAGAGTGTACAAGGCCCTGGGTTCAAACCTAGCACCACAAACACAAAACTAACCCGTGGCGGGGAGTGGAGTCAGTGGCGGAGGACGGGCTTAGTATGCACAGGCCTGGTACTGCATACATAGGTCTAGCACAGTAGCACCTGCCTGTAATTCCAGCACTCAGGAATCAAGGTCATCCTCCACTCCATGCTCTGTATCATTTAACTTGAGTTTCAGTTTCTTCATGTCTAAAAGAAAACACAATTCACACCTCATATGTACTTTTTAAAACTCTTTATCCTACCTATCCTATTCATCTAGTTCATAGATTTTTTTCCCTAGTCAACAAGTATTAACTGAGCCCTGCTAGGAGCCAGGCTCTGGACCAAGAGACCCGGCAACAAGCAGGACAGCTCTCTGGTTCATGGACCTTAAGTGTGAGGGGCAATAAGCAGCTCACAAGTAAATACGCAAATGTCATCGCTGATCAGGAAAGGAGACAGGAGCAGTGACTCAACTGACACAAACGGCTTTTGTCACAAGAGGACGACGGGCGCTGGGATTATGACCCTACTCCGTGAGGACTACCAGGGTCACTAAGGAAAGTCACAGGACATCTGGTGAGATATGTCACTAACTGACATACAGAAGCTGAGAGGAAAATCAGATTTTAGAAGCAGTGGGAGTGTTAGGATCAAGACCGCTCTAGGGGTCTGAGCTTGTGTCTCAGTAGCAGAATGCTTGCCTAGCAGGTTTAAGGCCCCTGGTTTGCTCTCTACCACCACAATTAACCAACAACAACAAACCCCAGCCTTAGCTAAATAGTGACATCCTGTCTCAAATTAATTTCAAAAAGTGGGGAGTTGCTATCACAGAGCACACACTGAAAGCTTGGAGAGAATACTAAACAGGAGGAATGTTAGACCAGACCCAGGCCTTGATGAACTCCAGGAGTTAGGTAGGGATCAGAGGGGGGGGAAAACAACCAGAAGAGGAGTCTGGGAAGTTGCAAGCCACTGCAAGCATGAACTCAACTATGGTGGTGCCACCTGTTAATAAATGTGGCCACTGTACTGGGCCACAGAGGCGCTCTCAGCTCAAAGCAGATTTTACAAGGCCGCAGGGGTGAGACTGGAGGCCATCCACAAGTGAATGGGAGCACAGTTGTAGGCAACTTTTTTTGGGGAGGGGGGCACCACACAAGTCTCACTATGTAGTCCAGGCTTCCTCCGTCCTGTTCACAGCTAATGTTCAGAACAACGAATGCCTGCTAAGTGCATAGTACTCCTTCCAGCAACCAACCTAATTTCCAATTTCATCCCCCACAGCCCCGTCACACCCTATGCTCCAGTCACTGGGAACACATGGTCTTTGATGGTTTTGCACCTCTGACTTGCTGCTACCAACTCATTTTCCCTGTCGCACCTAGCATCGTTATATGGTCGACTCCCTCAGATTGCTGTCCACCAAGTCTGCTAAACTCATGAGATACTGTAGCACTTTCTCCTTCAAAGACTGGCTCAAGGAGCCATCATGGGCTAGCTATACTTGGCAAACTACAGGTCAGTGGGCTAAATTGAGAAAGCAGATGTTTGCAATCTCGGCATATTATTACTATTATCGAGGAACCGAATGCACTGAAGTGGCCTTGCTGAGGTCTTAGGGTACGTGACTTTTCCGGGATTTCATGCTAAGGGGGTAACTGAGCCATATGCCCCTGGGTAACTAGAACCCGAGGACTCCTGGATGTACCTGGATCTCATTGTCCTTGCGGGCGGGCACGGAGCGGACGTTGTACTTCTGTCGCAGTCCTTGGACAGCCGGGAAGACATGGTCTTCCGGAGCACGTGAGAGGGGACATTGAAGTGGCTTATGCTGCGGTCCGAGGTCACCAAGAGGTGGAACTTCCCGGTGATCGCCTGTTAAGAGCACAGGACGCAGGAAAGAGCCAGGTCTCTATCCAAGAAGGGGTCGTGGGAAAAACCACTCTCTGGCCAGTTCCGGCTCCGGTGCAGTGCGCGCAGGGCCGGATATGACAGTTGCAGTCGCAGAAGGCATGCGAGTCTCCGCTTCCTGCTGCAGGAAAGCCGGACAGCGCCCCCTGCGGCTGGAGTCGGGTCTCGGCGTTGGTCCCGCCCAGTAGTAGAGCGGGCAGGGAAGCAGGCTGGAACCCCTAAGTCTTAGGGCCTAAGAGGTGGGAACGCTTTGTAGGGCCTGCAACAGAAACTCATCGACGCCTCTCTGGCTTCAGTTTCCGGTTTTGTACTGGGGACCGAATCCAGGCTTTTAGGACCTTTTCTAGCCTGGCCTGGTGTCTCATTCCTGTCATTCCAGTACTGGAGAGGAGGAGCCCAGGGGATCAAAAGTTCAAAGCTAGCTTAGACTATATGAGACCCTCTCTCAAAAACAAAACAAACAGTCAGGACCTGTTCTTTTGGGTAGACAGGCATTAGCCGACTCGGAGGCCACTGAGGGTGGGCTTTCCCTTCAGATCAGCTCGGCCTGCCAGATCTCGTTTCCTTCGTAACACACTAATTTTAAGGAAGGGAAGCACCACAAATTGCCCCTCCTTGAGGTTTGCCCGCTAAAATGCCGACCTTGCTTGCCATGACAGTTCTTCACCCCCTCCCCTCAATACCCCACAAGCTGCTTCAGGCCTCCACTGCCCAGCCTGTCTATATTCTTGGACTCTTTCTTGGATTCTATCTTTTTCCTCCTGGTAACAGTCAAGATTTACAGTTTGCCTGCCCTGTTAGTTTCTCTAAAATTCCCATGAGATGGTTCTCAAAACTTCATTCTGAGTCCATTTTTTTAAAAAATTATTTTTTATCAGTAAGACTAAAACCCACTCCCTATTTTCCAATAACACTTCTATCACTGAGCCATATGCAGTCCCAATTCCTTTAGTTTCTCACCATTCTCAAACACGCCACCCTCACCCCCATTGCCCTCAACAAAGGAGTCTGTAGAAGTTTTTCATTAAGCGGCGCTGTTTACCATGTGAGAGAAGCCACAAGGCACAACAAAACCCACTATAAGACTTTATTAAGGGAAGAGAATAGAAAAGATGTGCATAGGCCTATGGAATGAGCGTGGAGGAAAAGAGAGAAGGAATAGGTGGATCCCGCTTTTATAGGTCCCGTTCCCCCCTCCCCCCCCACATGTGCATATGGGCTTACAGCTATGTCGCCATGTGCTGTGGGAGTGGCTAGGAATTCTAACAGAAGTCACATGGGTATGTACTGCACAGTTGTTCTCAGCATCCTGGTTACAGCACCTCTGTCCATGGATATTCAAGTCCATTCCATCATAATGCTTGATATAACCCATGCATGTCCTCCTGCAACTTAATCGTGTCTAGATACAACATCTAGTACAATGTAAAGGCTATATGAATTCTTATACTGTATTGCTTAGGAAATGAAAAGAAAAATCTGTACATGTTCAATACAGATGAACAATTTTTTTTTGTCTAAATATTTTCCGCCTGTGTCTGGTTCAATTTGTGTGAACTCTGCCCATATGGCAGACTGATTGTACATTGTCCACATTCTTTAAACATCATGACACACCATTCAAAAAGCCATCTGACTGGCTTCTTCAGAATTAGTAAGCTCAAAATGCACGATTTTGGGCCCTACTACAATTCTATAAAAACATGTGGTGGGGGCTGGAGAGGTGGCTCAGAGGTTAAGAGCACTGGCTGCTCTTCCAGAGGTCCTGAGTTCAATTCCCAGAACCCACATAGGTGGCTCACAACCATCTACAGTGGGATCTGATGCCCTCTTCTGGCATGCAGACTTATGCGTAGAGCCACTCAAACATAAAAAATATAAATAAATTAAAAAATTTTTAAAAAATCACATGATGGGCTGGGCGGTGGTGGTGAACACCTTTAATCCCAACACTTGAGAGGCAGAGGCAGGCGGATCTCTGTGAGTTCGAGGTCAGCCTAGTTACATAGAGTTCCAGGACAGCCAGGGCTACACAGAGAAACCCTGTCTCAAAAAAACAAAAACAAAACAAACACACAAAAAGCCCACATGGTGGAAGGTCAGAGTTATATCTGAATTGATTTAAATTAAACTAGAATTTAATTTGTTGGTGCTGGGGATTGAGTCCAGTAACTCAACACATTAAACACACACTCTACACTGACTTACACTCCCTGTCCCTCAAATCTGAACTTTTAAAAAAGCATTCTCTCACCTTCCAAAGGTTTTTGAGTAGCAATGTTGTTGTTTTGTTTGTTTGTTTTCACACACACACACACACACACACACTCATAAAGTCATAGCTGGTCCCAAGTGTGTCTTTCATGCTGGATCTGGGAACTGCCTGCTTTATAGTCTTAATTTTCTGTTCTGTAGAACAAGAATGCCAGAATTCAATGGGTTTCCTCTAGTGTTCAGAACAGTGCCTGGCACAAAGCAGGTATCAGTCTTCCTAAAAAGAGCAGGTGTGTGGAGCTCCCTCAGAATAATCCAAAGACAGCCTTTGCATTTGCTCTAATCTTCACATTTAGACTTTTCATGCTGGGGACTGGCACTCTAATATTGAGCTGTATCTTTGCCGTCTAACACTTAGCTATATAGAGCTCACAAGAGTCCTAAAATTAATCTCAATGATGCAAACTGTCAGCTTTCTGTGTGATGAAAACATGAGCGATGCAACACGCTGGCGAGAGTGTGAAGTGTGCTTCCTTTGCTTTTTTAACTGCTTGAGAGAGCTTTGGGAAAGATCCAGCTCACCATCGTGAGAGTCCGTGGTCGCCCCCCCCACCCCCCCCCCACCCCCCGACGCACCTCCGAGTCCTAGACTGGCCCTTCCTCGGCCAAGTAACGAGCTTGGCTCCACCTCTGTTGGAAGATTGCTGGTAGCGCGGGCGCCACCTGCAGGTTAGTCGGATTAAGACACGCTGCTCATCCTCTGAGCATGAAGTCTTGGCCCTGGCTGTGCCATAGTCTGAGAAGGAAGCACCTGCCCTGTGAAGGCCCCTCCCTGAGCACTGTAGCAGTTGGCGAGGAGGGAAGAAAAAGGCTTCCAGCTTCCGCTGTTTTCGAGTTAGAAGACCGAAGAAGCTTATTCTGTGTAAAGTATTATTCATTCATCATCTCTAGCCCTCCCACTCATCCATTCACTGTACATTTGCTGAACACCTACTTTGTGCTAGATGCTGGCTATGAGGTTGCAACGTTCACTTAACAGATGGAGACTCTTGAGATGCAGAAAGAATGTCTTGCCCAATGCCGAAAGCCTCCTTCAGGCTGATCCTGTGCACATTCCTAGCTTATTAGAGTTGGTTATGGGAGTCCAACACGGGTATTACTGGACCTTTGGCTATTGCAGGGTTCTGTTCAGGACTTTATTCCAGAGGCCCCTGCAATCAGTGTTGGAGATTTTTGGAGAAAGGCTCCACTTTGGCAAAGTATGCTACTGCAGTTAGAGATGTAGAGACCATAGTGACTTCAATGCCATCCATTGCCACTGTGTCTGGGTTGCAAGGGTTTGGGAAAGGGTCATCAGTGACCTCAAACGAGTACTGTGATTAACGGTGTGTGCCACCATGCCCAGTGTCTGTCCATCACTTTCAATGAAAACACAGGGGCAGGTGCCAGCATGACTGTGCCCAGAAAGGGTCAGAGGTCGTATTCATAGCAATCATGGAAGTTAGTCCATTCATTCACTCACTGGCTCCTTTGTTCACTCTTCTGCACATTGAAGTCATTCCCCACACATTTCCTCAAATGTTCATTCACTTATTGATTTATTTGGCACCTACATGAAGCCATGTACAGAGCATGATGGGAGATTGTGGAGCACTTTAACTGTTATAATCTCAGTCTCTCACAGGTTGATATAAAGCAGTGGTTCTCAACCTGTAGGTCATGACCCCTTTGGCAAATTTCTCTCTCTCAAAAATATTTACAGAGCCAGGCGGTGGTGGCACATGCCTGTAATCCCAGCACTTGGGAGGCAGAGCCAGGCAGCTCTCTGTGAGTTCAAGGCTAGCCTGGTGTACAAAGTGAGATCCAGGACAGGCACCAAAGCTACACAGAGAAACCCTGTCTCAAAAAAACTAACTAACTAACTAAATAAATAATAAAAAAATAAAAAATAAATTAAAAAAATTTACATTATGATTCCTAACAGTAGAAAAATTACAGTTAAGAAGTAGCAATGAAAATAACTTCATGGTTGGGGTCAGCACAATATGAGGAACTGTATTACAGGGTCGCAGCGTTAGGAAAGGAGAGAATCACTGCTTTAAAGGGAACAAAAGACGAAAGAGAAACACAGCAGACTCTCCCGCCCCGATCCTCCTCCTCCATTTCCCGCTTTCCCTTTTGACACAGCTCTGATCATCTTGGGGCTGAGGCGGACCCCCGTGTTTCTTCATAACCCTGTACTCAGGCAGGTCTGAGTTGGAATTCCAACTGGACCACCTGCTAGTTGCGTGACTGGGATGCAATTACGCCTGCTTCTTCCTGGCATGCTGAGAATGCCCAATCCTCCCAATGATGGGTTAGAATAAAATGCATGACCTCATCAGCAAAGCACTGGCAGGAGACAGCTGTGGGGAGACAAGGGTCTTCAGAGAGTGTTCTTTTACAAATGTCCCCCTCACATGTGCACACTACCATATGTGTCTTCAGATAATGAACCTTCTAGAAGCACACACCGGACTTCTCTGATTGTTGTTTTGGTGCTGGGGGAGTAAGCCTAGGGCTTTTAACACAAAGCTACACCTCCAGCCCCCAAACCAGTTTTAAAATAATGTAAATTTTATTTATTATTATGTGTGTGTGCGCGAGGGTGGGGTGGGTATCAAGTGCCATGGCATGCATGTAGAAGCCAAAGGACAAACTGTGAAGACTGTTGTCTCCTTCTATCTTTACATGTTTTCTGGGATTGAACACAGGGCATCAGGTACCTACTGAGCTAGCTTGCTGGCTCTTAAAATATTTTTTTTCAATTACATCTATTCGCTTGTGTATGTATACACTCACGTATGATGTCCCGTGATACATGAGGGAGCTGATTCTCCTTCCATCGTGTAGGTCATCGGGCTTGGCAGGAAGCTCCTTCACCTGCTGAGCCATACCCCCCATCCCTGAAGTTTTTTCTTAAAAAGGGATTCAAAACTCTAATGGCCCGCCATTGTTTCTAGCAAATAAGAACACCTTACTGTGATACGAAGGAATAAAACCTAACTAACTGTTCCTCCTTATTTTGAGCCCCATTGCTACATTTCACTTCTTCCCAGGCTTCCGCCGTGATGTGCCATGCACTGCCCAAGCACTTGAAATTTCCCCCTTGTGATGCACCTCCACCATGGCCTATGATTCAGCTCTCGATGGGTCTATTCTGCATCCCTCATCTACATTTCGGTAGAGATCATCAAAAAGGAGAAATCATAAGAATAGCAACTTATCCCTCAATGTTGCATGTCAACTTCAGAAACCTCTGCCAATCTATTAATCCTGTAACCAGGAGTCCATGGAGGAAGACAGTCCACTTGGTGTTCTGCTTCCCAGACATGGGGCACCCCCAGGTGGGTCTCTCAAAATTTCTGGTAACACTAGTGCTTGAGAAAGAACAGGAAATGACTCTTGTTTTTATCACTATAGCAAAACTAGGGGCCTTATGGGTGAGTGGACTGCCAGTTTGCATGGTCTGCATGACCTGTGGGCCCTCAGTAACATCAAAATCCCTTCTTCCCAGGATGATCCCTTCCTAAGGTGCCCACAGTTAAAAATCTCTCTTTCTAGAAGCTTCCATAACCCTCTACAGACACAATCTAGTTGGGATAAAGCCAACTAGAATATTGAAGGTCAATGGTTTGTAACTGTTCTGTATCCTGCAAGATTCTTTTGGTACTCAACAGATCTTTTCTTCAGCATTTTCTTCTTCTTTTTCTCCTCCTCTTCTTTTTATTTGTTTATTTTTATTTTATTTTATTTTATTTTATTTTATTTTATTTTATTTTATTTTATTTTATTTTATTTTTTGAGACAGGGTTTCTCTGTATAGTCATGGCTGTCCTGGAACTTGTTCTGTAGACCAGGCTGGCCTTGAACTCAGAGATCCACCTGCCTCTGCCTCCCCAGTGCTGGGATCACTGCCTGTTTGTCTTTAGCATTTTAAACCTCTGTCCTGTAGAATTAAATTTTACTCTCAGTCCCACCCTAGCCTCTTGGCCATCCGGCCACAACCCAGGCAGAGCCACAGCAATATTTCTGAAAAGCAGCCTTTTAATAACCTATTTGAACCCAGTGAGTGGGAAAGAATCAAAACATATGTCCCTCTGAGAATACCTTTACAAGAATAACAGGCCAGAGGCGTCTCTTTCATGGGAAACCAACATCCCCTGTGTCCTCACAAAAGTGGGATTTCAACTCATATGCATGCCACATATTTTCCCGCCCTGTCCCACCCTGCCCCACCCTCCACAGGTGACAGATTTACACACCAAAGGGACTGGTTTCTGTAACTGGGGAACAGAACGTTTAAAAAAAGAAAAGAAATCCATCCAAGTGGCCAGATACCAGAAATAAATCAGGGGCGGTTTACATACACAACAACAGTCAACTCATACAAAAAGGGAACTTTTTCAAATTGGAATTCAGAGGCAAAAATTACAAATGGCAGAGAATCCAGCTACCCATAAGAGATTACTTTAGAAAAACAAAACAAAAAAAACTTCCTGCTGGAGGCTCCCCTTCATTACAAAAGTATGCAAGCAGTCTCTTATAAATGCAGCCCAGGCACGCGGCTCGCTCTCTGGACATGAGAGCAGAGCTAAAATTCTCCGCATGGAATTCATGCCTGGACCACTGCCCCTCCCTTTAGGGCAAAAAGAGGAGGATGAGAGGGCAACAGGGGAGGGATCCACCTCAGGGGGAAGTGGAGGAGACACTGGAGCCCCCCAGGGGCTGGGAACGAATTGGTGTGTGCTCAGCTAATAGGGGATCTCAATGGCAAGTGGGTCCCAAATGCTGGGCACCCTTGGGAGTCTACAAGGTAGAGGTGCAAAGAGAAGAAGCTGGTCTGCTTCGTTCCCCCAGCTAAGGCCTTGGGACCAAAGGTGGATGTCGAGACAAGATCAGTGGTGGTTTGCAGGGAAGGCTGCTTCTGGATTGGACAGATGTGCACAGACTGTGTGCCTTATGTGGTCCTCCAAGGATAACCTTCCAGTCACATGGCCCTAACCCTTGGCACTGCAGAATGTAACGGTGTACGTCGGGGAAACTTCGCAGTGGGAACCAGCCCCGTCACCAAGAAATGCTATTGCCACATAGCACAGCGGCTGAGGCACATTGGTGGGGATTCAGAAGAGCAAAGACATGAGAGGAAGGGGCACCCGTGAGCTGCCTCAGGACTGGTGGGCAAATCCGAGTCTCCACCATTCTGCCAAACAATTAGGCATCTGCTTTCTAGAAGGCCGGGGTGGAGCAAGGGCTAATACCTGGGCTCTAGGTTGGGCATGAAGCCATGGGGCAGAAGCAAGTTCCAGCTACAGTACCGTGTCTAGGGACTTGCCTGCCAAGTACCATTCCAGGTTGAAAGCGCCAGGCAGCAGTACCTTTGGGCAACCTGGTCTGAAGGCTGAGAGCTCAGGTTGGCTGCTAGGGGAGAAATCGAGCTGTTAGTGTGTCCAAATGGTGGGGCTTAAAAGATTGTCAAAACCTGGCTGAGAGCTGCCCTGTGAGGACTCTGGGCTGTTCCCTACCGGAGAAAAGACTACAGCCTTCCCACGAGGGGGCACTAGCATCCCTGGAGTACCTCTCCATGCCTCACTCTGGTCTTGGGGCTCTGTAGGGAAAGGAACACCAAGACTCCAGGCAGTGTAAATTTATCTAAAACACGGGGAAAGAGGTAGCTGCGGAACCCTGTGCCACCCATCACCACCACCCCCCTCCTCCCACACACACTGGGCCAAAGAAGGCAGAAGGAGATAGGGCGCTGGAGGTGGACTAGCAGGGTCCCTGGTCCTCAGTCGCTGGGCCGGGCAGGATGTCAGTGAATTTTGCCTAGCTGGATCTTCTTCCACGCTTCCGAGGCTGTGAAGATGCAGGAGTCCAGAATGCCAGCAACAGTGAAGGTCCCACCAATGATGGCACAGATCTGCAAGAGGGGAGAGAAGGGAGGGTGTCAGAGATCAGGGCCGAAGAGGCACCAGGCTGGCCCTCTCCTGCATCACAAGAGGGTGAACTCACTCATGAGGACACATTGCCCATGATACCCATTTTGTTTGCCATCTTGTCACCAACAGTATTTAGGGCTCAAAGAAAACCACTTATCACCTGTATCGGTTCCTTTAGTTCCCAGATGAACTCTCTGAATGAGCAAGGGATTTATTAGCCCATTTTACAGATGAGGAAAGTGAGCCTTGCCTGGGTCACTTCCCAAAGTTCACCAAGTAAACACCTGTGATTTAAACTCAGGTCTGTCTTGACCTTGGCGCCTGTAGTATTAACCTCTACTCTAGGTTTCTCAACTACATATGATCCTATTTTCAGATAAATGATGGAGGGTCTGAAATGTGATGCCTCTAACCCCAGGTCTTATAATATGCAGGTCACCTGGGACTGGAGTCTGGGTCTGACAGATCCACAGTGTCTGCCTGTGACTGACTAGGAAAAATGGCCAGAATGCTTAGGATTGGAAACACTCCTACTCTTTGGAGCTGGCCTTCCTTGGGCAGCCAGGAAGTAAGCAAACAAACTCCAAACAGCAAGGTCACAACCACAGAAAGTACCACCAAAGAGGCTTCTAGTGGCATTCCTGACATTGGAGTCCAGACAGTTCTTCATCCTAGCAGGTTGTCCCATGCACTGGCGGGTGTCCGTGCTATTGTCACCAAACATTGCTCAATGTCGCCTGGAGGTGAAAATTACCACTGCTGAGGATGGCTGTAGGGGGATCAATGTGGCTGTCCGTCTGTCAGAATGCTCCGCAGCCACAGCACAGACCACAAAGAGTCTCCAGGTGAACCGTAGGATGTTAGTGCCTTTTTTTTAAGTCCACGGCAAACTAAGGAGCCAAAGCTCAGAGGTCTAAATCACTCGGCTGGTGCCACAGCAATTGGCTGAACTGGGGTTCAAAATGTTAGCGCTTGTGCTATTTATTTACTCACTTTTGTTTTGAGATAGGGACTCATGTAGCCCAGGCTAACTCATATAGCTGAGGATGACCTTGAACTTCTGATTTACCCGTCTCTGTCTCCCAAGTGCTGGTATTACAGGTATGTACCACCACCACCACCACCACCTGGACTGAGTCTTTGCTCTTAACTTGACAGATTCCTGCTTCTTCAGCAAGAAACGCTCCCAGCTAAATGAATAGCATACAGCCTTTGATTTATGTTGGGGCACAAAGGTCCTTTGCTCACTAAATACTAGGGAACCAGGAATGTTAAACACACAGAGGCCTCTTCTCAATGGAGGAGACAAAATACCTGTTTCCCATCCAGAAGGCTGGGAGTGGATATTGTTAATGACCTGGTGACCTTTTTGCTATCAGTGGCTGCAGACCTCATCCACCTTTTGCTATAGAGGGAGACCTTACTCAAATCCCATAGAGTGCTTATCCCAGGCTCTTATCCCTCCCTAGACTGTTGCACTGGAATGGGAATGATTGCTGCCTGGGAAACTTTTCCTCAGATTGTACTGTTTTAAATATGGTGACAACGAACCTCCGGGCAGCAGACTCCCCGAAGTCTGATCCAGGCTGACGAGGTCAGTCTACACTGGGTTTTCACTCTCGTCTCCTTTTGGCTTTGCTTCCCTGTCTGACGACGCAGGGTCCCCTCAGATTTGGATCGTTTGACTTAGGATTGTCCAGCGTGACTGTGGTGCAAAGGCTTGTCCACAACCACTTTTCTCACCCTTAGTACACTGTCCAGTAAACTGAAGGACACACTTCACGGTATACAGACCTCCTGCGAGGTGACTTTGGCCCACTATAGGTGTGATGGCTATTCTTGGTTGTCAACTTGACTGCATCTGGAACTGATTAAAAGCCCAAGCGCTGGGTACACCTGCAAGGGACTTTTTTCCTAATTAAATAATTTGAAGTGGGAAGACCCCATTTAATCTGGATCTTTTGAGGTGGGAAGATTACCCTTCATCTAGAGCACATCTTCTGCTGGAAGTCTAAATAAAGGATAAGAAAGAAGGAAATGCTCTTTGCCTGCTTGCTCTCACTCTTGCTGGCAAATCCATTCTTTCACTGGCATTAACATCTACTTCTTTAGGCAGGATTCCGGCATATACTGAAGACCACCTAAGACACCCAGCCTTGTGGACTGAACAACTACTGGACTCTTGGACTTGCTGTAGGTAGCAGCCATTGTTGGCCTAGCTCAGTGGTTCTCAACCTTTCCAGTTCTGTGACCCTTTAATACAGTTCCTCATTAAAACACAGTTCCTATACCACCTCAGTGGTGACCCCAATCATAAAATTATTTTGTTGCTACTCCATAACTGTAGTTTTGCTACTGTCATGAATTGTAATGTAAATATATATGTAGGATATCTTCTGATATGCATCCCCAAAAGGGGTTGTGACCCACAGATTGAGAACCACTGCTCTAGCTGGACCATAGCCTGTAGGCCATTCTAATATATATATAAAATATAAATCCTGCTGGGCGATGGTGGCGCACACCTTTAATCCCAGCACTTGGGAGGCAGAGCCAGGCAGATCTCTGTGAGTTTGAGGCCAACCTGGTCTACAGAGTGAGATCCAGGACAGGCACCAAAACTACAGAGAAACCCTGTCTTAAAAAACAAAAACAAAATTATAAATCCCATATATGTGGGATTTATGTATATGTATATTCATTTTATTAGTTCTGTTCCTCTAGAGAACCCTAATAGGCTAATGTAAGTGGGCTAAGCCATGGTATTGGGTAGGTAAGCTGCATTAAATCTATATATTTTAAAAGATCTTTTTGTGTATGTATAATGTGTATGTGTGCATTCATATGTGTGAGTGTGGGCACACATGTGCCACCCAACTCATGTGAAGGTCAGAGGACAACCTTGGGTGTCAGTTCTCTTGTTTGAGACAGCATCTGGGCCCAAGAACTTCCAGTGGTTCTCCTGGCTCTGCTTCCCATTTCAACACAGGAGGTTTACAGATGTGTGTTACTGAGCCCAGTTTTGCACGGGTTTCAGGGATTCGAACTCAGGGTCTCTCATTTGCAAGGCAATCACTTTACCTACTGGGCCATCTCTGAAGTCTATAAACACACACACACACACACACACACACACACACACACACACACGACAGGGTCTCTCTACATAGCTCTGGCTGTCCTGGAACTCACTATATGGACCAGGCTGGCCTCAAACTCACAGAAATCCCCCTGCTTCTGCTTCTCCACTGTTAAGATTAAAGGCATGAGCCACCATGCCCAGCCCCCTAAGTATAATTTTGATTTTGCTATTTTCAGCTTATGATGAAAATGTGGAAGGCAAGTCCAACATACATGGAGGAGCATCTGTACTAACAAGTTGTCAAAACTCCATTTGCAACTTAACCTGACTTAGGCTTTACATATACACACACACATACATAGCTATATATATATAATTTATTTAGTTATTTTTTTGAGACATGGTTTCTCTGCATAGCCCTGGCTCTCCTGGAACTCAGTATGTAGACTAAGCTGGCTTCAGACTCACAGAGATCTGCCTGCTTCTGCCTCCCAGGTGCTGGGATTAAAGGCGCACATGCTTTTTAATGTTGATTACTATTCTTACACTAAAGCACAGCTCTGGATTTGCATCTGTGGACAGACATCCATTGAAATGTAACTGTCACAGGACTCTGGGTGGCAGTGGTGCACTCATGGACCATTTGATGCTAAGGGGTGGGAAGCCAGAAGCCAGTGAGGGTGAGAGAAGGGCATAGCACATTGGCATTTATCTTTTATACGGTGTTTTCCTGAGACGGCTAAGCAGAGGTGTGCGAGGTTTAAGACAGAGCAGGTCTGTGTGGATGGCCTGTAAGGAGAGCGGCTGGCATTCCAGTAATAACAGTCCGAGAAACCCGAGCAGCCCCCCAGGGAGCTGAGAGGATGGGGACGCTGGGAGGATTATGATGAAGTGTTTTAAACAGGCCAGGCCTCTCCCCACCAGCCTCAGTGTATGACGCAGGGGCACTTTTCAGGGAAGATGACGGCAGGGGAGCTGGTTTATTTCGGTAGAGTGGATCAGATGATGGCAGATTTTATACCACAAAATGCTTTTAGAGCTTGGAGCGGAGGGTAGGAAAATGTGACTTAAGTGCAATGGAGCACAAAATAAAAAATAACCCCTCCATCTGCCTTCATCCACACATAACTTGAGGCCTGAATTCCTATGACTCACACACACCTGGCACCCGTCTGAGATCTTCTTTCATTGGGCTGGCCCAGGGAAGAGGGAGACATATGCACTGAGGCCCACCAGAAGATACAGCCTTTGGGGAAACTGAGGGAGCATGCAGGCTAAGCAACAGGCCCAATCACAGGGTAAGTTACTGTCAGCTTGAAGGCTAAGGGGGATGCTGCCGTGAGCGGAATCTCATCTCTGTCTCCAGCCTTGTTGCTAAATGTGGCAATCTCTATACTTGAGATAGAGATAGGCTGATGTCGCTCAACCCACGCATACATTACAATGTCTACTGAAGGGGGTGGATTGTGGTGGACTGCAAGAAAGGAATTCTGATACATTTTGGGGGGCTTCTCTAGAGTTGAGAAGATTCTAATGGCCCACCCTTGCTTTCATTCCAGTGGTCCCTCATTCTCAGGGGATACATTATAAGACCCACAGAGGTGCCTGGAACCAGATAGTTTCAAACTCAATACTTAGTGTACACTTAAAAAAAAAAAAAAAAAAACACGCTGGGCGGTGGTGGCACACGCCTTTAATCCCAGCACTTGGGAGGCAGAGGCAGGCGGATCTCTGTGAGTTCGAGGCCAGTCTGGCCTACCAAGTGAGTTCCAGGAGAGGTGCAAAGCTACACAGAGAAACCCTGTCTCGAAAAACCAAAAAAACAAAACAAAACAAAAACAACAACAACAACAACAAAAAAACAGTACCTACTAATTTTTTAACTTAAAAATTAGGCAC